AGCAGATCAGGTGCATAAAACATTTTACTATCCCATCCTGGACTAGATTTTGCCTTCATTAACCCTATGACAACCCAAGGGGAGGTATATTTACAGTTTATAGGTGAGGAAAATGAAACTCATGGAGCTTATATAACATGCCTATGGTCAAACATCAACCAGGTTTTGAAACCAATGCCCTTTCACCTCCTCGAAGTAGAAGACATATACCGAAAAGTGCACATATCATAGCTCCATATTTTCACAACTGAGCACATGCATGTAACCAGTACCCAAGATCAAGAAACAAGTGCCTTAGTGCTCCTGACCAACCTCTTCCCTGACCAAGAATAACCACTGTCCTGACTTCTAACAACTGCATGAGTTTCTCCCAGAACACTCTAACCTACAGTAATCGCTCCTTCCACCAAATTCCTCTGATTTTCTTATTGGTATCATTCATTTAGAATTTCCCATACTCTCTTGTAGGGTCAAATAGTTGTTCTTTTACATGTCTCATCTTTCTAATTATGATTAAAACCTCCTTGAGGTCATAGTTTTGTACTGTTTTAGATTCCCCCACACATCTAGTATGGAGTAACCACTATAAAATATATGTACTTAAGAGTTATTTTCTGGTTACTGTGTATCTGACACTGTTTCAAGCACTTTACCCGGATGATCTCCTTTGTTCCTTTCAACAGCCCTATGAGATAGGTACTACCAGTATCTCCCTCTTCCAGATGACAAAACTAAAGCACAGAAAAGTAACTTGCCCAAGGTCACGCTGTTAGACATAGAATCAGGACTGGGCATGGTGGCTCACACTTGTAATCCTAGCACTTTGGAAGGCCAAGGCAGGTGGATTGCTTGAGGTCAGGAGTTTGAGACCAGCTTGACCAACATGGCAAAACCCTATCTCTACCAAAAAAATATCAAAATTTAGCTGGGTGTGATGGCACAGGCCTGTAATCTCACCTACTCAGGAGGCTGAGGCATAAGAATTGCTTAAGCCTGGAAGGCAGGGGTTGCAGTGAGCTGAGATAATGCCACTACACTCCAGCCTGGGCAACAGAGTGAGACTGCATCCCAGATTAAAAAAAAAAAAAAAGAAAAAAAAAGGATGGAATCAGGATTCAAATCCAGGCATTGTTACTTTAGCCTTGCTTGTTATTCTTTTTTGGTAAAATTTTTTTAAAAGTATAAAATACACAGAAAATAACATAAATCATACGTTTAAAGTTCAGTAGCTTTTTAGAAAGTAAAGACATGCAGGTAATTTACTAGCTCAAAAGACACATCCCCAGAAGACCCCTTTGTTCCCCCTTCCAATCACTGCCTCTTGCCCCAGGGTAATAACTATTCTGATTCTTAACACCATTCTGTAACTTGCTTGTTTTCAAACTTAGATAAATGAACTCATATAGGATGTTCTCTGTACCTTTATGAGATTCATCCATTTTATTGCAAGTGATGTGTTAATTTTTATTTATTTATTGTATTCAATTGTGTGAATGTGACACAATCTATCCATGTTAGTGTTGATGGACATTTGAGAGCTAGTGCGTCTATGAATATTCTTGTACATGCCTTTGATGCATACATACTTGCTTTTATCTTGGGTATCCAGGAGCAGAACTGTTCTGTCACTGGATATGCAAAGCGACTGTCCTAATTTACACTCCCACCCACTGTGTATACGTGTTCTGGTTGCTCTACATTTTTACTAACACTTGATAGTGCCTGTTATTTGCATTTTAGCTATGTGGGTGGGTGTGTGGTGTGTTATACTGTGGATTTTACTGAACTTACACCGATGAATACTGAAGGTATGTACCTTTTCATATGTTTATTGGCCATTTGGATAGCCTCTTTTGTGAAGTACCTTTTCAAGGCTTTTGTCCACTGGGTGGTCTGCTGTCTTTTTGTTGATCTGTAGAAGTTTTTTATATATTTAGGATATGACTTCTTTGTCATTATATATTTATTACAAATATCTCTTCCTCTTACGCTGCAGCTTGCCTTGAACTTTCTTAATGGTGGCTTTTGCTTCACAGACAGTTCATGAGATTTAATTTATCAATTTTTTCTTTTATGGTTAGTCCTTTTTAGATCTTAAGATGTATGTTTAAGGGACTTAAACTCATTAGAGATTGACTGGTGGGATTGTCAGTCAAGGTTCTCCACCCTGATGTAGTCACATGCTAACCTAAATCACTGCAAAACATTTTGCCTGGAATTTGGCTCTTTTGGAAAATGAAAGTGAATCTGCAAATGGTTGTTGCTCATTCATGAACATAGTGATACTCAGCAGAAACCATCTGCAAGTCCGTAACAGGGACCCAAGGCTGCTCTAGCTCCTGCCTTTTCTGAGCTTGGCCTTTCTGCTTGATTATTCAACTTTCCCTTCAACTCTGTGAGGAGCCCCCACCTTCGACTTGTAATACAATCTCCTTTTTAAGTTTTTTTTAAATTGCAACCAAATATATATTCTTTCTCTCTTTTTAAATTTTTTTTTTTTTTTTTGTGAAATGGAGTCTTGCTCTGTTGCCCAGGCTAGAGTACAGGGATGTGATCCTGGCTCCATTCTCATGACTCAGCCTCTGAGTAGCTGGGACTACAGGTACCATATTCTCTATTTTTTTTTTTTTAAGGAGATGGAGTTTATGTTGCACAGGATGGAATGCAGTGACAATTCACAGGTGTGATCATGGAACACTGCAGCCTGGAACTCCTGGGCTTAAGTGATTTTCCTGCCTCAGCCTCTCAAGTAGCTGGGACTGCAGGTATATGCCATTGTGCCTGGCTGATGTTCTCTATTAATAGATGGCACTAAGCACAGACTTAAAGTCTGATCAGTCACACTGTCCAAACAAGAAATTTCACCTTCACGGAATTCAGTCCTTAACTTTTGTGACTGCAGAATGACGTCCTGACATCCCCAGAGATGGTTCTGCCTTGATACCACAGTAGGAAAAACAATGGCATTTTCACCTCATTTAGGGAAATGACGAGGAAATCCAGTTAAAACTGAGCATCCTCTCAATAAAGCAGACAATTTAAAAAATGCAATGGGACATTAACCCTTTAACAAATTAGTAAGCAAGGTCAGCTCTGCAGCTGTGTCTAAGCATAACTACTTTTTTAGCTGGCACTATAACAACAAACACTGATTATTTAAATGGAGAACAAACAATAATTTAGGTGGAATATTATTTAAATAATGAGCACTTCTATAAATCAAACATATCATGGATAGCAAGCATGGGGAGGTGAGCACCTACAGAAACTCTGACTGTTGTAACTGGAAGGGTATTTGGGGAATCATCTCCGTGATTACTCCCTGAGATCGTCTACATTTCATAAAATAAGAGCACAGGCCAGAATTAACAAGAGAGATTTAAAAAAACAAACAAAAAGAAATCACACCTTCAAGGGAGTCTAAGCTGGTGAGCCGTGCACATATGGGCATTTCTGGGTTGCATCTTCCGGAAGCATTTCAGAACCGGCAGTGTTGTGTCTTCAGCATGAACTAAGCGGGGGAAAGATCTTCATTCCTTGAGGTTGACTGAGTGTAATTTTTCAAAACAGTCAAAACTCACTTGGACTCAAAGCTAGTGAGTACACTTCTATAAATTTATTTTCTTTTTAAAAAAGGGACATTCCAAAGAACATGTGAGAGCTCTGGAGTCCAACTGACACTGGCTGGTGTGGGATTTCAAATAGAAAAGCCTAGCTGAGCCTTAATTTTCTTATACCTGAGAAAAGAATAGTCTACAGATGACCCTTGAACCACACGAGTTTGAACTGCACTTAAACGCAAATTTTCTTCTGCCTCTGCCACCCCAGATAACTGCTCCTCTTCCTCAGCCTACTCAACATGAAGGAGATGAGGATGATAATCCACTTACACTTAAGAAAAAGTAAATATATTTTCTCTTCCTTATGTTTTCTTAATATCATTTTCTTTTCTCTAGCTCACTTTATTGTAGGAATGCAGGCTATAGTATATATAACGCAAAAAATATGTGTTAATTGATGTTTTATTATTGGTAAGACTTCCAGTCTAGTTATGTTTTGGGGGAGTCAAGTTATATACGGATTTTCTACTGCTTGGGAATGGCATTCCTAACTCCCGTGTTGTTCAAGGGTCAACTGTATCTGATAGGCATGGCTGATAAATCAGATAATATATCTGAAGCTGTTACATCTTTGGCTTCTATTAGAAGACAGAAGCTAAAGGAGGATGGCTTTTATCTACTGAATATACACAGGCTCTGAAAGGACTTTCCAAACAGAAATTTATGTTTGGAACACTGTCATTAGATTTACAAGGCTCTGGATTTATGCAATCTAGCTCAGACTCAGAAATTATTATTACTATTTATTATTTTTCTGAGACAGAGTTGTGCTCTGTCACCCAGGCTGGAGTGCAGGGGTGCAATCTCGTTTCACTATAATCTCTGTCTCCTGGGTTCAAGCAATTCTCATGCCTCAGTCTCCCAACTAGCTGGGATTACAGACACCCACCACAATACCGGCTAATTTTTGTAATTTTAGTAGAGACAGGGTTTTGCCAGGTTGGCCAGGCTTGTCTTGAACTCCTGACCTCAGGTGATCCGCCCACCTTAGCTTCCCAAAGTGGTGGTATTACAGGTGTGAGCCACCGTGCCCACCCTAGAAATTATTTTTTTTCTTTTTCTTTTTTTTTTTTTGGTGAGATGGGGTCTTGCTCTGTCGCCCAGGTTGGAGTGCAGTGGCACAACTCGGCTCACTGCAACTTCTGCCTCTCGGGTTCAAGTGATTTTCCTGCCTCAGTCTCCTGAGTAGCTGGGATTACAAGCGTGTGCCACCACGCTCAGCTAAGTTTTGTATTTGTAGTAGAGATGGGGTTTCACCATGTTGGTCAGGCTGGTCTTGAACTCCTGACCTTGTAATCCGCCTGCCTCGGCCTCCCAAGTGCTGGGATTATAGGTATGAGCCAAATGAATTATTTTTATTTATTTATTTATTTTTAAGGACAAGTTCCACATTTTATTTACATTTTAAGACTAACTTTAATCTCAAAATCTCAATTTTTGTTGACTTCACTTAAACTTAAATGCATGGTTTGTTAAACAAAGACTGTAAACAAATATTTACCATGTCTGTTACATGTAACACACAAGAATAGCTCTTAACAGAAATTCATCAACTCCCCCCAACATTTTTTATTATAAATACAGGTATCAAAACAATCCTGAACATATTTTTGATACTACTAGCAGTCAGCACCCACACCGCTTCAAAAATTAACACATTTGTGACAATATTCATTGTACCTGCTACATTTTAAACAATTTCAACTGCAGCTCTTTCACTAAGCAAGATGGATAAAGCATGCCATTTCTGTTTTCTTTCTTGAGATTTTTACTTTTTAGAAACACACATGCTTCCACTGTCACCTGACACTTCTCCACACGCTTTCATCTTGTAAACCTGAATTCTATTTCGAGTACTCCAGGTTTATGTCTAAATGACAGTGCCTTAACAAGAGAAAAAAAATTGTGCTGCATTTTTCCTCCTGTTACCTGAAAACATAATGGGTGTCCATATATTAAATATATTCTTACAAACGTCCAGGTTATGTTTACCAGCTGGAATTCTTTTACTTATTGTGTGAGTATTTTGCATTGTGATATTTAATCAAGACATTAACGTGAGTAGAAGTTTGTTGATTTAAGACAAGTCTGAGATCCACTAAAATTAATTGTTGTATGTTTGTCCTTCTGGTGGCTGTGGAAGCTTCATATTTTCTTTGGACATCATTAGACGTCTTAGCTCTTGAAGTACAACTTTAATGCTATATGAATTTTGCCATTTTGCTAACACTGGTATGCTCTGGGCATCTACCATCCCACTGGAATTATTTACTCCATTCATATTAATTTTTGTTACAAATCTAACTGACGGAGGAGCTTCAGGGTATAAAGGTCCACATTCTACTTTCAGGCTATATATTCTGTTTTCATAATTTGTCCTTGGTGGCCCAATAATCATGCCTGTCCACCTTGTAAGAAATTATTTTTAAAAGAACACTGAGCAGACAAAACCTAATCCCAGAATTCTATGTGCTAAAGGTGGGACATGTATTCAACGGTGTCCATGTTGGTGTCTAATAAGTCCTAACCACTCATGCTACAACTCTACATCCATCCCTAATAACCCATCGGCAGGGGAGGGAGTGGAGAAGAGAGGGCAGCTATTGGTCCAAGGGAGAATGAAAGAACTGAAGGAGAAAACAGAAATTCTCAAGAGACAACCAGAGTCGCCCAGAGGACATGGTTTTACCCATAGATACATATATACGGAAGGGTTATGGAAGGATTAGAGAGAGAAAGGCTGCTTTAAAAGGCTGTCTCTTCAATATTCCAAAAGGCTGGACTCTGGGGTCATGGAGAACAGTCTAGGCTTCTCATAGGAGTGCTTTATTTGGTTCAGCAACCAGATTAACCTTTCTCCAGTGTTGGCCTAAAATCTTGCTTTGCCCTGCTTCTAAGAGAATGGAAATAGGTTGTCAAAATTCTAAAAAAAAAAATTGGTTACCTTGACTCCTGAGCCTCAGTATCCTTATCAATAAATGAGGGAAATCATACTTAAATCACAGTACTATGCAAATTAAATGAGATCTCATGAAAAGCATTAATTACACTGGCACATGGCAGTTGCTTGATAGATAACAGTTACTGTTATTGTTGGCTTTAAACAAACAATGAGGTACCAAATACTGGATCTGAGCTACTAAAAAGATAATCTATAGATAGAGAAAAAAATTTAGTCTGTATAATTCTAGAATTTGCTAAATCTTGGCTTGAAGAATAGCTATCACATCTTGAATGTACATTTATTGTCTCCAAATACTTTTACCTTCTCATTTATTTATATATACTTTACAATTTTACTTAGAGAATTTTCTAAACCAGTTAATTATCCTTGAGAAAATCTATTAATAAATCCCTAGGTCTTATGCTCTGCAAATCTGACCCTTCCTTGGAAGTGCAGAGCTAGAGGATGAGGTTCCACTATAAAACATTCTTTCTAGGCAATCCCTAGGACTGTGCATGGAGCTCAGGAATCTTATTTTGTTTTGATCATGATTTTGTATGTAAGGGCATAGAGTTTGTGGAGGAGGTAACCTAAAGAGGGAAGAAAACAGGAACCATCCTTTCTATCATCATTGCCTCTTCCAAATAATAGACAGGCATGTATTTCCTGTAGAGAGTTAGGGACAATGTGCCAAAGACAGGAAGAGCCTGGGCCAAAGGTGGTGTTACCTTATTTGAGAATCCTCTGCATAGATGACCACACTTACGTTTCAAAACAGCAGTTCTCAAATGGTTCTATGTCCATGGTCACTTTGGAAGAGTAGCAGGTCAAAAGATCATATATGCAGTACTCTGATTTAGAGATGGGAGACCTGCCCTTTGGCCACCAAGAAAATCCATTATTTAATACCCTAGGAATCAATTTCCACATTTTAAAATGAGGGGGCTGAATTGGATGATCCTGAATTCATCCTTTCTTTAAAACCCTATAATTCGTGGCTATTCTTCTTCTGCTTTATATTATGAAAGACAACAATGTAAGCTACCCAACTTTGGCCAGAATGAATTAAGAGTATTACACTGCTTTTGTTAAGACACAAATAAAAGAAACAGTAAAATAAAAATTCACATTAAAGATAAAACACATATAAGTATAAGGCCATCCTGCAGTCATTGCCAGGAGATCTGCCTACTTGTTTTGTGATATGCCTGCTTGTCATACACTTTTTCTCTTACACAGAACAGTATCTGTGAACACTCAAAATGGGTCATTTAATTTCAACCCATGAAAAACTAAGAGAAACTCTAGGTACAGATAGATGGACCAGTGTGAGTAGCATCTCCTCCCCATTCAATGTGGTCAACAAGTGAGTGGCTGGCAGCATTAGGAACAGATAGTAAGGTTTACGTAAGACTGAGAAGTCTAATTGCCCTCCAAACAGCTAAGTATCCAAATGTTATCGATAAACGAATTATGGCTAACATTTATTGAGGACTTACTACATGCGGGCCCTAAAATGATATGCTTTATATATATCTCATTTACTATTCAATTATCCCTCCTATTCCATGCACCAGGACACTCTGCTGCATTACACTGATACCTCTTTTACAGCAGAGGTGGACAGGAAACCTCCTGTTTCCTCTCCCCTGTGCCCTCTTTCCAGGTCCAGTGATTCACATTCCTTCCCCTCAAGCCTGAAAGTCCTGAGGAAATGGAGCATCCAGGAAGTTTGATATGTGACTTGCTCTCTGACTTTTCATAGGTGTTTTCTTCTAAGTGCAAAGGATTCGAGGACTAATTCTCTCTTCTACAGTGAGTCAACAGGTGCCACTGATATCCCTTGAGTACTTGTTCCCTAGTAGGCATCAGTGCGCAGGGTAGGTTTGAGCTAGGATTTGAGCTAAACAGCAAGTATATGGACAAGGAGAAGAGGGGAGAGTAAGCCTGGGACTTAGATGACCACTTCCTGGATAATAGGGCTGAGTTTATATTCTTTTTTGTATTGCGCCTAGTATTATATCCAGCCATCAACAGGTTAAGAAGCAGTATAATATACCAGAAAGAGTAAGGAATGGGAGGCAGGAGAAGAGTATGGGAAAAGGTCTCTTGCGCCCTCATTCCTGCCTAATCATCTCTGTTCTGCTCTGCCCGCCTCTCCTACTCACCTCTCCTCCTACCCCAACAGAACCCCTGATATTGAGAAGTACCAAATGTCACAAGGGGTGTTTCTAATTTGTGAAGCTTGAAGGAGAAAAGAAAATGCTGAATATCTCTGCAAGGTATCTATTAAAAACGGTAACCATTTTTAAAATCATACTAGGAGCCAGGTACTGTACAAAAAAAGATTTCTTAGATGATCTTATTTCCTTCTCACACGAATCCTGTGACAGAGACATTCTATTAACTCTACATAAAATTGAAGAAAATGAGGCATAGAGGTTAAATAACGGCTTCTAGTTGTAGAGTTAGGAGGTGACAGAGCTGAAATTTAAGAGAGGCTTTGCCACTGACAAGAAAGGGATTGGCTTTGTAAATAATTCTGTTAAAGTGTTTTTTCCCACAGGTCTAGAAAGAAGCAGATCCCTAGGAAACAAAGAGAATGCTTACAGGAGACTTTCTCTGGAAACCAGTCAGGGGACATCAGATAGGAAAGCACCACATTCAAACATTTTTGTTTTGCATATTTTTTGTAAATGAAGGATTGGCCAATTAATATTGCCCGATGAGACATGTGAGCCTTATGATTTGGCTACTTATCAACTCAACACAATTATTTCCTGGTCTTTAGCCAACATGGCATGTCTCTTCATAAGTAAGTGAATAAGCAGAACGGACACACGTGTGTGTGTTCACATGCACATGCTTCTGTGTATAGCATGTGTGCAGCATGAGTATCAAGCCTACAGGCCCACCTTGCATTCTTGGCTAAAATTCCTTCTTCCTCAAAGAAGAGAGATCATGTGATTGTCTTAGTCATTTTTCTTTTCCTGAAATGACTCTGGGACGGATATAGTCTGCTGGGATCTAAGCTCCCAACTGGACTAAGCAGGCATAAAAAGGCAGGCTACTAACACCCTTTTTGCTGGCAAAAAGGGACCTCTGACAACTATGCAGAGCAAGTCTGGCTTTTGTCATGAAAGCTAAATTCTTAGGGAGAGAAGTCAGGAAAGCTTTTATTGGTCTTATCTGCCCATACTCTTTTATCTACAGCCATCCTCAGGGTAAAGCACAGAGGCTGCTTCACTTCTTGAAGGTACAGAGCTTATGCTTTCTACTGAAACTGAATTTGCATAGAAAAACTCCCCTGAACTACTTACTCTGTAACTTGCAAACTCAAAAAGAATAAAAGAATTTGTACCTTCTAATTCAATCAACTTCTCCCCACGTCTCCTGTACTTAGCAGATGAATATCCTTTGTATCTCCAACCTAAGGAATTCTCCCCCTTGCCCTCCAGGATCTAGACTTAGCCTTGCTGCTTAAAATCAAATTGCCTTTCACTGTTTAAACATAACAGGTGTAATGGCTACCTCTGGCTTCATGACGTATTTGCTTGTACTGATCATAACTACTGGTTTGCAGGAACCTGCCAGTCCTGTTGAGAATTGGTAATTTTTGGCCGGGCGCGGTAGCTCACACCTGTAATCCCAGCACTTTGGGAGGCCAAGGTGGATCACCTGAGGTCAGGAGTTCGAGAACAGCATGATCAACATGGTAAAACCCCGTCTTGACTAAAAATACAGAAATTAGCTGGGCGTGGTGATGCATGCCTGTAATCCCAGCTACTCAGGAGGCTGAGGCATGAGAATCACTTGAACCCAGGAGGCAGAGGTTGCAGTGAGCCACTGCACACCACTGCAATCCAGCCTGTGTGACACATAAGCCTCTGTCTCAAAAAAAAAAAAGAAAGAAAGAAAAGAAAACAGAAAATTGGTAATTTTTTAAAAGCAAAATAATTTCTGCAATTCAGACAACTTTTTGTGTGCATGTAATCATCTTTTGGTAGCAAATGCTTTGTGCTATTACACAACACTGCCGGTAAGAATTCTATTTAAGAAACATGTCCTTGCTTGTAAGGCTTGGCAGTCAAAAGAGAAGGACTCTGACAGGCAAACTAATTAAATGGGCAAAGCCCCATGCTTTCATTGCTCTTCTTGTCATTGTCTTCCTGGTACTCCTCCCTTCCTACCTCTCTCTCTCTTTGTCTACAATTTCCATTCTAGATACTATCTTCTATAATCTCCTTCAGGGCCTGGCCTCATTCCATGGTTTCTCACAAAAGACTTATTAGTCCCATCAAGGAAAATCAAAACCTATCTCATGATCAGATCGAGGACAAGAACCCAGAAAGTTTTGTTTTGTTTTAATTTCCAGTAACATATTTTGGGTCCGAGGGGTAGATAATAAAGGAAGAGAAGAAAAACAGAGAAAGTAAATCTTAAGATCCTTGAGGACAGAGGCTATGATAGAATCATCTTTAGACCCTCTATAAAGCCTGACAGACCTTCTGTCATTCAGTGAATGTTTACTGCCTGACTCCTACATGCAGATACGATGGTGAACAAAACAGATTGGGCGCTTGCTTCACAAGTCTTTAGGCTTACAGTGAGTGAGAAAATTAATTAAAAAAAAAAAAAAAAAAAAACCAGACCAGGCACGGTGGCTCACTCCTGTAATCCCAACACTTTGGGAGGCCGAGGCGGGTAGATCACTTGAGGTCAGAAGTTTGAGACCACTCTGGCCAACATGGTGAAACCCCATGTCTATTAAAATTATAAAAATTAGCCGGGCATGATGGCGGGTGCCTATAATCCCAGCTACTCTGGAGGCTGAGGCAAGACAATCATTTTAACCCAGGAGGTGGATGTTGCAGTGAGCCAAGATCACACCACTGGGCTCCAACCCAGGTGACAGAGCATCAAAAAACAAATAAACAAAAAACCATACATATATATATATACATACATACATACACATACACACACACACACACCAATGAAACAGGTCATTACCAAGTGTGGTTAGGTATGATGAAAGAAAATAACAAATTTATATAGGAACATCAACTGGAAGCCCTGATCTAGCTTGAGGTTCAAGGAAGGCTTCCCTGATGAAGCAGCAGTGAAGCACAGAGGTGATATGGTGTGTGATTAAGCGTTAGGGAAGAGTAAGCGACAGAGCCCTCCAGTGCCTTGCAAATTATGACTTCAATGAAGCAAAGCCTGTTCTACTTTTAAAACAACTGGAATCCTGCTTTTTTGCATGTAGGAAGAGATACAACACAAATTTTGGAAATCTCATCCAAGTCTTTCATTTTACATGTAGTGAAATTAAAATCCCCATATGAGCTGGCCAAGGCCACTTCCTGGTGGGACAAGACCTCCAGGCTTCTGGTGCCCAACCCAGTGCTCTTCTGACTACACTGCCAGAATGGCAGTTTCAGTGGCCACACAAACTTCAAGGCAGTGATAATGGGGCCCTGAAACTTACACAAGATGAAAGGGCTTATCCTATATTCAAATGGTCTATAGTGGGATAAAGGTAAAAGCTTCGAAAAACTGAATTCTGTGCTGTTTGTGAAGAAAGATCAATATATCCAGGTATGTTTGACAAAAATGTATTTGTAAACCAGCAACAAAGAGTGAACCAGGCAGATTTTCTGGCCGACATGCAAAGTGAAAACAAGATTTAGATGTACTCATGGTACTGTGGAAAAGTGATCCATCAATCTAAAGTGATAGTTAAGGCCTATTGATTCTCTGCATTAACCCAGCAAGAATCACAATTAGCCCTAAGTTCTGATTATCACCACACCTGAGCCTTCCCTGCCTCTTACAGAGATCACAAGAAACAGGCCTGAGTAAGAGGTGACGCATTTTATTACATGCTGTGAAGCCCCGGGAACTTAATACCATTTAATCAACTTTCCTCTGTAGCTTCCCGTTGTTCTTCTCTTTACAACACTGCTACACCAAATAAGCAACTTAGTTTCACAGCTTTGCCTCTTTTTTGTGATGTATTTATTCCAGACCTTTCTGCCACTTAGCACTTGTATAATCAGACTGGAAATGGGGATGAGGGTGTAAATTGTATTGAAAAAGAGATCACGAATAAAAATCAACAAATGTGAAAAAAAAAAAGAATAATATGTCCTTTTTTCATTTTGTTTTGTTTTTAGAGATGGGGGATTACTCTGTTGCCCAAGGTGGCGTGAAATGGCACAATCATGGCTCACTGCAGCTTTGAACTCCTGGGCTCTAGCAATCCTCCCACCTCAGCCTCCCAAAGCCTTGGGATTACAGGGGTGAACCACTGCACCTGGCCTAACACCTCCATTTTGCATTCTTGGTTAGATTTTCTCAGTAAATGACGAGGTACAGAGTTGGTTAGAAGAATGGTAAATGCAGAGGAAAACCTACATTCTGGTCCAGTCTGGCATCTCCAAATTTAGACGTGAACACAGGCAAGAGCTTTTACTATCACTCTACTTGCTAAGCAATAATAGTAAGAGAAAGGTTTGAAATGTTGCCAGGAATTAGATTTCAGGAGAGGCCTCCTTTAGAAGGCAGTAAAAGATGCTACTGGCTACAGATGAAACCTTAATTCTTTCCTTACTCAACACCCCTTCAAGGGACAAAAGATTGGAAATGTCTCTTCAATCAAAACAAGATCTTGCTCTGCCTTTCCATGATTATTAGCGCCTGCTTTGTGCTGATCTCTTTGTCTCCAAAAAGAAGCTGCTTTATTGAAACATCATAGAAAACACAGTTGTCCCCTGAGACAATGAAGTCGCCTGCACACAGGCATTTCCAACGTAGGCAGGGCTGGCAGAATTCTCAACCTGTTGCTATAGTAGCAGAAAGAATGTGATTCCAGCAGCTCTGCTGAGATCCATATCCAAATCCCTCCTGCTCCTGCAGAGAACATTAACCCTTTACTGTCCTTTCTCAGGGGCAGAAATACCTGGGAAGAATCCCAAATATTTCTTAGGAGCTGGATGCTGTATAGTCTTAGCATCTGCTCATTCACTTGTTCAATACCTATTAACGTTCTATTATGTTGGCTCCCAGATTTTAAGGGGTAACAAGTCAGACATGGCCCTTGGCATTGAGCAAGAAGGAGGAGGATATGAAATTATTGCTCAAATAATACATTATGTAGCATTGGTATATATGAGAGACACATGAGGTTCACAGCAAAAACATCACTAGAGAGATAACAACCTGTGCAAGATAACCAGCTTATCTATTAGTTGTAGCAGACCCTATATATTCTGGGCCATTGCAATTGTTTGATTGTTTGCATGTGTTAATTTGAGAAGAATACCATTAGAAATGCCAATCATATCATGCCTCCTACAAAACATTAGTTAAAATACGTTGTTTAATTACACCAATTTCTTCACGTAATACAGAAACAGTATCATCTGTCAGGGAACCACTGCTGAACATGAGGTTATGATCCCTCATTTACAGTCACCAGGTAACAGAAATGGCAGGTGAGGGCTCAGAAAACATGTAAAGGCAGCACCATTAGCAGCACAAAGACCCGGTGAGGACTTCTAAATAGTCTCCTCCCCATCTATTTCTGTGGTCAGGGCAATAATGAAGAAACTTCAGGAAGTGCAATTTAGGAATGACCTATAATCCAGCTTACTTTCTCTAACAGTGTGGTATGGAAATCTCATATTGTGAAACACCTTCCAGCCAGGAAGCACAAATAGTAGGGAAGCAGGGTTTCGTAGGAAGATTAACTCAGTAAGTAATGCTATACTCAATAAGTAATGCTTGTTTTGGGAAACGAGGCACTATCAAGCAGATTGCCAAGAAAAAGCTGAAAAAACAAGAAGACAGGTGGCTAATCTCAGTTGGCCAATAGATGTGATCTCAGGAAGGTTACATAATCCTTTGTACCTGAGTTTCCTCACAGGTAAATCTGATACACCATGGTGTTAGTTCATTTTGCGTTGCTATAAGGGAATACCTGAGACTGGGTAATTTATGAAGACAAGAGGTTTATTTGGGCTCATGGTTCTGTAGACTGTACAAGAAGCATGGCAGCAGCATCTGCTTTTGGTGAGGACTCAGGAGGCTTTTAATCATGGTGGAAGGTGAAGAGTGAGGAGGCATGTCACATGGCAAGAGAAAGAACACTCTAGGCTCTTTTAAACAACCAGCTCTTGAGTGAACAGAGGGAGCACTCACTCATTAACAAAGGGAGGGCACACAAGCCATTCATGAGGGATCTGCCCTCAGGACCCACACTTTCCCCCCAGGCCCCACCTCCAAAATACGGGATCACGTTTCAACATGAGAATTGGAGGGGACAAGTATACAAACCGTACTAGCCACATATATCGAAAGGCACAGAATGATCGATAGCAAAGCCTGTAAATTAGTGGCCTAAATTAAAGTGCTTTATTCTTCTTAGTCATACCATAAAACATAATTTCTGCCCTGGAGAATATCTGAGAATCTCAATCATATCAACACTGGTTTTCTGTTTCAATGAGAGAGGCTCAGGCCCCATGCCATTCACAAAACAAATCAGGGAAAGATGTGTAATCAGGAAGGGACAGTCTCACCAAAATCTCTTTTAACCCCTGGCACTGTTGGGCTAGACTACTGGAAAAGGTCCCAGTGTTCAGAGTAGATGGAAACTCATTCCTTTTCACCTGAGAAAAAGGGGATGACAATAAAGGGATATCATGTGATCTAAGGTAATGAGACCACCCACATAATAACCCTCCTGGATCTGGGCAGTGAATAACCAAGCCCAGTAACCCATACTCTTTTACATTTTAGAGGATACAGTGGGAATGGAAACAGAGGCATTCATTCTACAGGGATTCCAATGCCATTTCTGCAGCTAATAAATTTGAAATACCATCAGGAGTTTCTATCTATCTATCTATCTATCTATCTATCTATCTATCTATCTATCTATCTATCCATCCATCCACCTACCTACGTATCCATCCACCCACCCACCCACCCACCCACCTACCTACCTACCTACCTACCTACCTACCTACCTACTTACCTACCTACCTACTTATTTACTTATTTATGGAAGTTTCTTTTTGAGGTGGAGTCTCGCTCTGCCACCCAGGCTGGAGTGCAGTGCTGCAATCTCAGCTCACTGCAACCTCCACCTCCTGGGTTCAAGCAATTCTCCTGCCTCAGCCTCCTGAGTAACTGGGATTACAGGTGCACACCACTGTGCCCAGCTAATTTTTGTATTTTCACCATGTTGGCCAGGCTGATCTTGAACTCCTGACCTCAAGTGATCTGCCAGTCTTGGCCATCCAAAGTGCTAGGATTACAGGTGTGAGCCACCGTGCCCAGCAGGAGTTTCTTTCCCTTCAAATTCCTTTAGACAGATCATAGGGGCTATGAGTCCCCTGCTTACTTCCACATCACAAGGAGCAGAAGATGGCTCCAGAGGATGCACATTTCTCTGCCTCTGGGTTATTCTAGGGTCCAGCTAGGACTTCAGAAGCCTTCCAAAGCAGAAAAAAAATGCAACCTCCTCCTCATACACCCTTCCCCCACTGGCAAAGAGTATTTTAATTGCCCTATTTCTTCACTCTTCGCCATATCCATGCCCTTTGCCACAACTATTTGCAGCTTCTCACACCAAAAAGTGAAATAGGCTGGACCTGGTGGCTCACACTTGTAATCCCAGCACTTTGGGAGTCGAGGCGGGCAGATCACTTGAGGCCAGGAGTTTGAGACCAGCCTGGCCAACACGGTGAAACCCCATCTCTAGTGAAAATACAAAAATTAGTCAGGTGTGGTGGCAGGTGCCTGTAATTGCAGCTACTCAGGGACTGAGGCACAAGAATCACTCGAGGCTGGGAGATGGAACCTGAGATCACACCATCGTACTCCAGCCTTGGTGTCAGAGTAAGACTCTGTCTCAAAAAATATAATAAAAAATTTAAAAAAAAATTAAAAAGTGAAATACATTTCCTTGCCCCTTGACAAACTCCACGTGACTTTCTTTGACCAACAGGATGTTAACAGATTAATGATATCAGAAGCTTAAATTGAGCATGTTATTCTCGTGGAGATGGCAGAGATGGGCTTGAATAACAGGCTCAAGCTAGCAGCTGGTGCCAAGGGAAGGATGAGAGATGTGGCATAAAGCTACCCACCTCTGAGCCCAGCCTAGAATCAGCCAATTGCCCCCCTCAAACTACAGACATGGGGATTAAGAAATGCACATTGTTAACAAAGAAAAAAATTAAAAATAAAAAAAACAAAAAAAGAAAAAGAGAAAAAAAGTAAAAAGAAAAAATAAACAAGATATAACAACAACAACAAAAAAAAAAACCTAAAAAAAAGAAATGCACATTGTTGTATAAAACAGATTTTGTGGTTGTTTGTAACACAGCATTATTGTAAGCAACAACTGGTACACACACCATAGTAAAATTTCACCTATAATTTAATGGTTAAAATACTGTTTGCTTTGTTTTCTTAATACATGATAAATAATTGATATCTGAGTTTTTTTTATTAGGCTCTAAGATCTTCAGAGCAAGGTCCTATTACATTCCCAGTGTCCAGGATTTATTCATGAGTCCACATCAGATTGTAAACCCCAGGGAGACACAATGGTAAACAATATACAATTCTAGCCATCAATCTGCAACTGTCGATTCTTCCTGTCTAGCATCTGGGTTAGTTTTGGCCAAAGGTGATCATAAAGTTTACTTTTGCAGCTAGAAGTACATGAAGTCAGTAATGAACTGCATGTTATTTGCTTAAGTAGAGATGAACTGGAATCACTGCATCTTTCAGTAATGGAGGGATTGACAAGACTCTTGAATTATTGGGTTTTAATCCTGGCCAATAATCAGAGCTTTAAAAATTGCAGGTTCTGAATCTTCATCTACAGATATTTGATTGAATACTCTAGTACAAGGCCTAGGCATCTGTGTTAAAAATGTCTCAGAGTAATTCTGACAATCATAAGGATTGAGGACTCACCACCCCAATTAATAGAACTCCTCCATCCAATGATTGAATCTCTTCTACTGAGTTGAACTAAGGATCTATAATGACATTAATAGACCCCAAAAGGGGACCATTACCAGGGAACTACATGTATCAGTCAGCTATATTAGTATAACAAACCATTCCAAAACTCAGTAGCTTAAAACAATAAGCATTGGGAGAACGATCCAAGATGGCCGATCGCTAACATCCCGGGATTGCAGCTCTCAGGGAAGGCACGGAGAACTAGAGGACGCCACACTTTCAGACAAAGTCTGGATGCTCAAGGAGCAGAAGATCCCCCAGTGGTGGAGACACACGAGTCGCCAGCGCAACTCTCGTGGTCGGCACAGCGGTTCCACCAGCACCTCGACGCGGCAGCGCTCGGCGCAGAGTAAACGGGACCGGTTCCCCTTCTGACCGAGGTTTGGAGCCCCGGGAAGGCAGAGTTGCCTACTAGGGACACAAGAAGGAAGCCCGACAGGAGAATCCTGGGCAGAAAAGCACCATCAGTTTTAACGCCGCTGCTCTGGCCCTGGGAACTAACAACCTGGACGTCCACTCAAGAGACCTAATCTGAAAGTTGGTAATTTCAAAGACGACAGGAGGATAAATTTACAATGAAGGGAAGAAACCAGCGTAAAAACGCTGAGAATACTCAAAGTCAGAACGCCTCTCCCTCTAAAGATGATCACAGTTCCACATCAACAATGGAACAAGGCTTGATGGAGAATGAGCGCCTCCTGATGACAGAATCACTCTTCAAGGAATGGATAATAACAAACTTCGGTGAGGTAAAAGAACATGTTGTAGCCCAACGTAAAGAAACTAGGAACTTTGAAAAAAGGTTTGATGAAATCCTATTGAGAATAGACAACTTAGAGAGGAGTATGAGTGAATTAATGAAACTGAAGAATACAATACAGGAACTCCGAGAAGTATGCACAGGTTTAAACACTCGAATTGTTCAAGCAGAAGAAGGGATATCAGAGGTCAAAGTCCAACTTAATGAAATAAAACGTGAAGAAAAGATTAGAGAAAAAAGGATAAAAAGGAATGAGCAAAGTCTCCAAGAAATGTGGGACTATGTGAAAAGACCAAATTTACGTTTGATAGGTGTACCTGAATGCGACGGAGAGAATGAATCCAAGCTGGAAATTACCCTTCAGGATATTATTCAGAAAAATTTTCCTAAACTAGCAAAGCAGGTCAACATTCAACCCCAGGTAATACAGAGAACACCACAAAGATATTCCTCAAGAAGAGCAACCCCAAGGCACATAATCGTTAGATTCACCAGGGTTGAAACGAAGGAGAGGATACTAAGGGCAGCCAGAGAGAAAGGTCAGATTACCCACAAAGGCAAGCCTATCAGACTTACAGCAGATCTCTCGGCAGAAACTCTACAGGCCAGAAGAGAGTGGGGGCCAATATTCAACATCCTCAAAGAACAGAACCTTCAGCCCAGAATTTCATATGCAGCCAAACTAAGCTTCACAACTGAAGGAAAAATAAAATCTTTTATGAACAAGCAAGAACTCAGAGATTTTATTACCACCAGGCCTGCTTTACAAGAGCTTCTGAAAGAGGCATTACACACAGAAAGAAACAACCAGTATTAGCCTTTCTAAAAATACACTAAAAAGTAAAGAGCACCAACATAAAGAAGAATTTACACCAACGAATGGATAAAATAGCCAGTCAACATCAAATGGCAGTATCCCTAAATTTAAATTGACTGAATTCCCAATCAAAAGACACAGCCAAAACCCAACGGCATGTTACATCCAGACCTGTTTCACATGCAAGGATACACAAAGACTCAAAACAAAGGGATGGAGAAAGATTTACCAACCAAATGGAGAGCAAAAATAAATAATAAATAAATAAAAAGCAGGAGTTGCATTTCTTGTATCGGATAAAATAGATTTTAAAGCAACAAAGATATAGTGGTAAAAGGATCAATGCAACAACAAAAGCTAACGATCCTAACACCCAGATAGAAGACTTAGATTCAATGAGACAGAAAATTAATAAGGATATCAAGGACTCGAACTCAGATCCAGAACAAGTAAACTTAATAAATATTTATAGAGCTCTCCACTTCAAATACACAAAGTATACATTCTTGTCAATACCACATCACACCTACCCATTAGTTTAAATGAAACATTGATTGGCCATTATTAATACCCAATTTTTTTCAAAATAAAGCAATATTTCCATTTACTCTCCCTCTTTCTCTTCCTCTCCTTTACTTATTATTTTTTTTTAATTTCCTTCTCTCAAAAAAAAAGAAATCAACTTGTAAACCTCTAGATCCAGGTCGGCAATGTCTCTTTCATTGCTTGATTTCCTTTCTTCCCTTCCCTCCCTCCCTCGCTCACTCCCTCCCTGCTTCCTCCCTTCCTTCCTTCCTTCATCCCTTCCTTCCTCCCTACCGTCCTTATTCCCTTCCTTCCTGCCTTCCTCCCCCTCCTCAAAAAAAAAAAAAAAAAATAAGCATTTATTATTGCCTATGAGTCTATGGATCTGGATGGATTTGTCCGATCTCTGCTGGGCTCACTCAAGTGTCTGAGGTGAGCCAGCTGGTCTAGGATTGCCTCACTCACATGTCCAGTGTAAAGTCACTGTTACCTGGGGTGACGGGGTCTCTGCGCCACAGCAAGCAAGCCCATGAATGTCTGTCTATAGTCTAAGAGATGCCGATTTCTTGGAGGGAAAGAAGTGTGTGAGTGAACCTCTTAAGACCTGGGCTTGGGACCTAGGCTTGGAACCAACATACCTGGACACCTTCACTTCTATTTGAATTCTGTTGGCCAAAGTAAGTAGTAAGGCTAAGCCCACATTCAGGGGCTGGGAAAAGAGACTCCACTCCTTGATAAGAAAGCTGCAAAGTCCTATCTCAAGGAAACAGATTTAAAGAGGAGAATAATTGTAACCATTTTAAAAATTAATCCATTACACAGCATAACACCCTGGGGTGGAGGTGAGAGCACTTCTGGCCAAATGTGATTTCTAAGTGAGGGCTGAAGTTTTCACTCTCATCTCAACAAGTTACCAAGTCCATAGGTTAAAGCTTCATCTGATATTCATTAGTTCTACTCCTGTCCGCACACACGTACACCTTACTTAATCCTCAAGATTTCAGTCTGAAACTAAAGTGAAAGCAATCTATTTACTCTCAGCACTATTTTGTATTATCTTTTGGGGTTCTTTCTTTCTTTTTTTTTTTTGAGACAGAGTCTTGTTCTGTCACCAGGCGCCAGGCTGGAGTACAGTGGCACAAGCATGGCTCACTGCAACCTCCACCTCCCAGGTTCAAGCAATGATCCCGCCTCAGCCTCCCAAGTAGCTGGGACTACAGGCATGCGCCACTACGCCCAGCTAATTTTTGTATTTTTTAGTAGAGATGAGGTTTCACCGTGTTGGCCAGGATGGTCTCAATCTCTAGACCTCGTGATCCACCTGCCTCAGCCTCCCAAAGTGCTGGAGTGAGCACTCACAGGCATAAGCCACCATACTCGCTGTCTTTTGGGGTTCTTTAAGAGGATTGGATGACATGCCACTCTTAGGAGGATGTGTTCAGGACATGTCTCTGTGATGTCTCCTCTTGGCTTAGGATGTGCCTACAGATGAAACGTAACAATGATCATCAGGGCCATACCCTCCAAAGGACCCAGAGCATTACCATGAGGAGCACCGAAGCATTAAAAAAAAGAGCAGGAAACTGGAGCTCCTTGAAAACTACAGGCCGATGCTAATTAGATTTTTAGCCACCAGCTCTTTCCTAGGCCCTCTGCATTCTACCTCTCTTCTTTACTCACCCTCGCCAGACTGTGACCACTTTGAAAATGCACTAATTCTTCAGGGCCTGAATCCACACTATTTTCCCTGATCCAAGCTCCAAGATGCATGCAGTCTGCCTAGGATGTAGCAGCAGTTATCATAGCATTGCTACAGCTAAGGTGCTGCTTTCTATTTTTCAGAAAAATCACCATGACCTTTTGGATAGCTCCACTAAAATTCTTTAAATGTTTACATGTGGGCCAGGCCTGGTGGCTCATGCCTATAATCGTAGCACTTTGGGAGGCCAAGGCAGAAGGATCACTTGAGCTGATCACTTAAGATCAGTCTGGGCGAGAAAGTAAGAGCCTGCTTCTATTTTTTTTTTTTTTTTTTTTAAGTTAGAAAGAAGAAAGAAGAGAGGAGGCGGAAGAGAAAGAAAGAAAGAGAGAGAGAGAAGAAGAAGGGGGAGGAGGAGGAGGAGAAGGAAGAGGAAGAAGAAGAAGAAGAAGAAGATGAATTATTCAAACACAGGATGGTAAAGTGTTGGCCACAGCTAGTTAGTGTCTGAAGGCTTTCTGGAGGTGATTCAGCAACTGGTAAGGAGAAAGTGCATGCTGCTCAAAGGCAAGGCTGTCTCAAGTCCACAGTCTGATACCTATTTATATATCCAGTTTTCAGTCTGCTTGGTACAGTCACTGATTAAAGGACTAAGCAACAGGAGTAGATGAAAAAAACAATGAAATAAAAAGAAATGCTAAATTCACCATGAAGTTGCCTTAGGAAAGCCAAATTCAAGCAGTTGCATTTACTTTGCTTCAGAAAGAAACCCCAGGAAGTTCTAAAAACACACCAAAGAGACCACGAATGGGAGCGTATGGCAGATGCACTTGAACGTGTTCAGAGTTGTAAGCTAAGGATTCTTAGGGAGAATTCTCTTCAGAAAGCAGCCATCCCTGAGATCCATTTCTTAACCATGAGGAACATCTGAAGCCCCCATCCCATCGCATGGAACCCGGCCATACTGGGTCAAGGCCTTTTGGTCTGGGTTAAATGAAGGTGGCCAGGTGGAGCTTTGGGGGAGGGTGACAAGTGAAAATGCTATATAAACTGCATGCTTTTGCTTTTTATAAGTGGTGTGGTTTTCCTGTTCAGCCTGCTGCCAATGGACCATCCCTCTACATAAGTTTCCCCTAAAAAAAACCTGTCATTTGCTGGCCCTAGGTCTCTTCTTCCACCGCTTGACCTTGGTGCCATCTCTACTGAAGTTAATAGGGGGCTGGCACTACATGGAGGAAATGTTGCCAACAGTCTTCTAAACTGTATTCTATTTCTGAGCACTGATTCTGGGAGAAAAGCACGTTTGGGGTGGTGATGTTTCTGTACTGTAACGTGTAGCATCCAATGTACAATACCTATGAGAGTCAGGACGGCTATCTGTGCTGTTAAGTGCATGGGCAGCTTTGAGTGACTTCCATTAGTCTTTTAATCATAACTGAAAAGTCACAAATGTGAACCAGCAATCATTAGGCAAAATCATCATCATGGTTCCCACCTCCACTTCTTGCTCATTTGGCTCCAAATAAGTGGCATTCTGGGATTGTCCTTTAATGAGCTGGCTGATGGGGCTGCAAGCAATCTATGCTTTCAATTAATCAGCCAAGGGGAAACTAGAGCCACAAAAAAGCAAACTACTTGCATTATCACCACAGGAACACTGGCCATGACACCGATGAAGTATTGCTGATTTACCTCCAGCAAAACACATATTGCACTTTCCTGAAACTTAGAAGAGGGGCATTCACTCTAAGAAAGGTATTTGCACCCTACCTGTGACCCTCCCCACTCATCCCTTCACTCACAGCTAACTTCATAGGCTTCCTATATGCCAGAAAGTTCAGATGTGCCATCTTGGTACACCATGTTTTAGGGTGATTCACTGCAGTTCTAGAAACCTAGACATGTTAAGCACAGGCTGCTCTGTTCGGGGCATCCTTAAGTTGCCTGCACAGAGTTGCCAAAAACTAACCTGTGTTGCATATTCAGAGTCAGAGCACTTGGCACAGGCCGAATCTTCACAGGTGTCATGGCAGTGCCTCTGGTCTGAGCAGTTTTTACTGCAGTTTCCCATACTGCTCTCCTATAAAACCCTTTAGCTCAGCATCCTTGCACTCTGATATAAACACAACGTAATTCCTCAAATTGACTTTACATGTAGCCTTGTCTTTCCCACATTTTTATTAATATCTTCCCAGGTATTCAAGTTTGGGCTAGGGCAGGAACCAGAGGCAGTAACTTTATTCCTTCACATGTCGGTGAACCAACAGCTTTTGGAATAAATATTTGAGACACAGAAGCCTGTTAACAATGCAGTGCTTGATCACTCTGAATTACTCTCTCACCCACAGCAACTGGGGGAGAGGGTCTTGGCACTAGCTCACTGCACAAAACCTGCTTCCCAGCCTCCACCATTTGCCTCCAGACCATTCTCTCAAAGAATTCTCAACACACTATACAAAGATCTCAGTTTTCCCTCTTAAATGCGACACAAATTCCACATTGAACATCAGACCTTTTTTTCCCACAGCAGCACAGATTTAATTCAATAACGTCATGTTCACAAATATTTAATTGGACTTACCTTTTAACTCTTTTCCTCAAACCCCACCTTGCATCTTTCGCTCAACGCTGAACTCCTTTAAATAAAGCTCCTCTGTTTTGTTGTGAGACAACACATCATCTTGGTCTATTACAAAGCTATGGTGACACTTAAGCCACATTTCAATTAGACAGAGGTGCCTATCTATTAAAATGCCCACAATCCTTCACACTTTTTCTTCCTCAAAACCTATTTGGTAAGCAATGTAGCTTTTTGTTTTGTTTTGTTTTGTTTCTCTACAGTGCCAAAAGTCTAAGTTGTACTAACAAGAGGTAATTAGTTATGTTAAGTTTTCTTCCAAGGCCATGCTATCAGGTTACAACTTCTAATAAACCCTGCTGCAAAAAGACATTTCTTTGTCTTGGGACCACAGAGAACTAACCAAACAAAACACCTTCAATTGTCTCAGACACTCTGCCATCTAAACACAATCAGAAAGAAAAGCCAACACCAAAGCAAATAAAATGAATGAAGTGGTCCTGCTGCTGGCAGCCCTTACCATTGGGAGCAGAGGCCCCCTCCGGACCCTCGCAGGGGTTCTGGCTCCTCCTGGACTGGGGAGAGGGTGGCGAGGGGTCCAGGCGGTGGGTGTGGGTGGAGGTATGCTCCGAGCATGCTTGAACAGGACTCACTGCCGTCTGCCTGCCTGTCTGCCACTCGGTCCTCTCGTCTGGTGGGAAGGGCCAAGATGAAAAAAAAAATGTGCAGGTTACTCACTGGCCTTCTCCGGCGGGCAGACACACCCAGGAGGAGGGAGAGGCCAGGCGCAGACAGGAGAGTCTTCAGAGGCTGAGCCTGAGATCTCCCTTCAGATTTCCTTTTGTTATTACTTCCTGAACTTTAAGCCCAGTCTGCATGGGTATGGGTACTTAGGGAGGCAAATAACACTTGAGTAATTAGATTCTAAGGGCTTAATGCAAAGGTTACTTCGAAAAGGCAATGCTTTAGCACACATCCTTTTGCATTTCACCCTGAAATTTGTTTCCACTGTGTTAAGAGTGTTAACGCTGGCGTTGGAAATGAGAGTGAAGGGTTACTCTGGGGCAGGGATCTGGAAGAGCCTGGGGCAAGAAAACTTGGATGTGATTTAAACAATGAGTTTCTAGAGTTTAACTTTTAGACTGAATTTTAGAGAAACAGGATTCTCAACTGTCTCCCAGCACCTATGGACTTTGCCTTGTCCAAGAGGCACATTCTTGAAGTAGGTATCTATAAATCAAGATTTTAGAAATGGATTCACGTTGTAAATGGAAGAACTTGTCATTTGATAGCCTGGCCTCCGATTAATCCTGACATGAAGGCTTTCACAAATGGATAATTTGTCAGTTTGGGACGAAGCCTGGGTGTTCGTAAACAAAGGCATGGCAGTCATACAGCCTAGGGAGGTGGAACGGAGGATGAGAGAACAGGTACTTGCCTCAATTAATCCTGAAAATGTACTTATAAGGGAGGATATTCCACTTTCACATATGAGCACACTGGGACCCAAAGGTTGGGGAACTTGGTTCATGCTGGGCCAGCTAGTAAACAGGAGACCCAAGATTTGGACCCAGGTTTGCCTGAACCTAAGACCTGGTATCCTCCCACCATACAGACATGCCTGTCACCCCTCCAACACTCACCTTTCTTCCACTTGCAGCTAACCTAAGGCTAGGTATCTTTCCTTAAATTTTTATAACTTTCCCAAAACCGATATACCGTGAAATATAATTCGGTGGGGTTTTTTAATAAGTACAATAAAAGTGGAAAATGTACTGTATAGTTTCTTTGCTGTAGCTTCTCACAGCCTTTCGTATGCTAATATACAGTGTGACTCTTTAAGTTCAGGACCTACATCCCCCGAAGAGGGAAAGGATCTTCTGAGTTTGGGAAACAGTATTATAGAGATGTGTTGTTGCTCTTTCTTCTTCTTTGTTTTTTTTTTGAACTGATAAAAAATCTCACACAGTATATAAAAGCATAAAATAAAAAGTAAAAAGTTCTCTATTATTCTTAACCATCAGTCCCATTCCTGAGAGGTAACCACTGTTAGCAATTTCTTATGTATCTGGTTCAGAAATGTCTAGCTATATAAAGCATATGACTAACCTCTTAAAAACAACGTAACTGGGATTAAAGGATACCCATGATGTATTATTTGGCACTTAAAAAAAAACTTAATGATACGGTTGAGATTTTCCATATCAGCATATAGAATTGTTTAGGCAAGTTAGTGTCAAGAAAAGTAAAAGCTAGATCTAAAATCCTGAATTACCACTTTATAGAAGGGTCTGCAGCATGGGCCACAGTATGCTTCATGACTCAGTGTCAGAAACTGGACTTTCCATTTCAGCTCTAGCTCTATAACTTCCACACTTGACACTCAGGTATAGAATGGGAAGGACCCTACGACCAACCTCATAGGTGGCTATGAGGGTCGGTAACAATAATGACAATAATAACAATGCCAACAGCCCTAGCCAACACTTACCCAGCACTTACTCTGAGCTAGGCACTTTTGTTAATGCTTTCTATGTATTAACCAAATAAAGTCTTACCCCAAATAACCCCAGCAATCAGTTGCTATTATTATTCTCATTTTACAGATTGAGAGAGCCATTTCAGAGTGTGTACAAGAAGGGCAAAATAAGTGCTTGAAGTTTTATTAATGAAGCAAACATGATATTGGCCACCTTGATTTTTGCCACACTGCATTCCTAAATGCCACACTATAAAGCAGATCCTATTTTCCCTTAGGAATAATATAATTGCGAGTTCTGTTCCAAGACCTCATGTTGGCTTCCTACGAATTCAAATCTTTACAGTAAAATCTTGTAAAGAAAAGGAGATACAACAATAAATCTCATAATCATGTACAACAGTAAAACGATGTTCCATGACTCAGATTTTATGAGATTGGCTCATACAGCCCCTCCTTTTTACTGATGATGGAAGTAATATCCAGAAGATTGTGTGGAACTTCTCTAAAAGTACATACGTGCTACACTGTCTCAGTAATGAAACAATTTTAAAATGTGCCCACATTTGAAACCTGTATTACACAAGGAAACTGCAACATACTCTATAATATACATATAAACATATTGTATCACAAATTTGACACAATATTAATATACAAGTTAGTTAACGAGAAATAGCTTCCCCTGCCTGCCTCCGTAAAATTAAAAGGTCATTTGAGGAATGATTTGACTGACTCATTTCTTAGAAAAGCTGTCTAGGGCCTGGCGCGGTGGCTCATGCCTGTAATCCCAGCACTTTGGGAGGCAGAGGCGGGTGGATCACGAGGTCAAGAGATCGAGACCACCCTGGTCAACATGGTGAAACCCCGTCTCTACTAAAAATACAAAAAATTAGCTGGGCATGGTGGCACGTGCCTGTAATCCAAGCTACTCAGAAGGCTGAGGCAGGAGAATTGCCTGATCCCAGGAAGCAGAGGTTGCGGTGAGCCGAGATCACGCCATTGCACTCCAGCCTGGGTAACGAGAGCGAAACTCCGTCTCCAAAAAAAAAAAGAAGAAGAAAAGAAGAAGAAGAAGAAGAAGAAAAGCTGCCTAGGGATAATGTGAATCAATACTTTCCAATTTTCTTTTATTTTTCTTTTATTTCTTTTGTTTTTATATGAAGTCTTGCTCTGTTGCCCAGGCTGGAGTACCATGGTGTGATCTCAGCTCACTGCAACCTCTGCCTCCTGGATTCAAGTGATTCTCCTGCCTCAGCCTCCTGAGTAGCTGGGACTACAGACTTGCACCACCACGCCCAGCTATTTTTTTGGATTTTTAGTAGAGACAGGGTTTCACCATGTCAGCGAGGATGCTCTCAATCTCCTGACCTTGTGATCTGCCTGCCTCAGCCTCCCAAAGTGCTGGGATTACAGGCGTGAGCCACCATGCCTGGCCAGTACTTTCCTATTTTCTCAATATATTTATCTATATAAACCAGAGGCTTTCAACATCAGTCCATGGGTTTTATCCCTTCTAACACAGTTGCAGAAGCATCTTCACAGTTTGAGACATTACTTGGGACCTTAGCTTGATTTGGGGTGCAAGGTTTGACCTAATCCTCCTGCCCTCTTGCCAATTCTTTTTTATTCTTTAAACTCTCTTTAAACATGATTACAATTGAATAGGTACTATGCGTTTTACTCTCAAGGTTAAAAAAAAAGTGACAGAGAAACTAATTTCTTCCCCCTTCCAGCTCTGGCTCTCATCTCAGTATTTGACTGTAACTTTTAGCACAGTACCTAGAGTATGGTAGAGGCCTATTATTTAGCTGTTGTCCCCATCCTGCCCTCTAATTTAGTGTAATCATCCTGTCCAATGGACTCACCACTTACACGTCTCTCCTCCCCTCCCCTCCCCTCCTCACCTCAGCCCTCCCCTCCCTTCTCTTCCCTTTCCATCCCTTCCCTTCCCTTTTCTTGAGAGGGAGTTTCACTCTTGTTGCCCAGGCTGGAGTGTAATGGCATGATCTTGGCTCACTGCAACCTCTATCTCCTGGGTTCTAGCAATTCTCCTGCCTTAGCTTCCAGAGTAGCTGGGATTACAAGCACCCACCACCACACCTGGCTAATTTTTTCGTATTTTTAGTAGAGATGGGGTTTCACCATGTTGGCCAGGCTGGTCTCAAACTCCTGACTTCAGGTGATCCACCTGCCTCAGCATCCCAAAGTGCTTGGATTACAGGCGTGAGCCACTGAGCCCAGCTTTTTTTCTTATTTTTGAGGTCAGGAGTTCAAAACCAGCCTGGTCATCATGGTGAAACCCCATCTTAAATTAAAAAAAAAAATGATGTCCATCCAAACAGAAGTCTACAGCATGACTACATATCACTGTCCTGCTCTGAAATACACACATGTAAAAGACGCACGTGCTTGCTTCAGCTGCTCTACAGCCAGTAATAGGGAAAAAACAGCAATGCACAATGGTGTTGAAGACAGAGTCTGAACCCCACTTCCACCACATATGCTCTGGTCAAGTCAAAGGTCAGAGTTCCAGATTCCTGGTCTCTTGAGTGAGGATAATATCCTCTTCCTCATAAGGCTGTGATTGAAGATTAACTGAAAGATGTAAGACATTCTGTAAACTGCAAAGTACCACACAGATGTCAGGTTGTAACCCTCACTGCTTCTGGCTCTCTGAATGTGGTGGCAGTGGGCGTGATAATTGCTTTAAGAGAAGAACCAAGTTGTTTCTGTTGTTCTGGATTCCCCAGCACATGATTGACTCAGCTGCTGCTCCCAGAGCCGGTCCATCATGCTACTAAATTGCAGGAGAAAATGGGATTAGCTTATTCTCCCATGGACGCTAACCTTTTCCTTCATTCCTCTTGCCTTACCAGACCTTCTGAACTACTTCCTCTTAGCATATTTACAAAACTATTTTTAAAATCATTATGGAAAATTTCAAACATACATGACAATGGAGAGAAAGGAGTAGCAAATGCCTCACTTCAGGCTCACTAGCTTCAACAATTATCAATTCATTAAACACTTGTTTCATCAATACCGCTATCCACTCTGGATTATTTTGAAGCAGATTCCCAATATCATATCACTTTATCCATAAACATTTCTGTATGTATCTCTAAAATATAAGAATTCTGTTTTTAAATGCAATCAAAATATTACACCTAAAATGTGACAGCTGGGCATGCCTGTTATTCCAGCAGTTT